TGTGTTTATTTTCATTATTATTATTATTCATATCTTTTTTTGTTTTTTAGTTTTTTTTGTTTTTGTTTTGATTGTGCGGCGCATACGGACGCTTGGCGGCAGTGGCACAGGCACGGGCACTACTTTCTTTTGGCTAAATTTGTTTGTTTGTTGTTTTTGCTTTTGCTTTCGATCGGTGTTAATTATTATTTAGTTAACAAACTATGGGGTTTAAAAACACAAACTTTGTATGTACATACATGTATATCTATATATGCATATATATATGTATATATATGAATGGTTTTATGGTTATACATATGTGGTAGATATATGCGATACTAAGAACTAGGCCATTGGATTTGACTTACAATTGTTTTATACGTACCATATAGCAATGTACATACGAAGCTTAGACGCCAGTATGCTTATTTACAATAAATGTTCAATTTGTTTTGTTCACGCATTTATGAAGGCATTTGTTATGCGCCGTTACATTTCGACTTAAACGAATGTTATAATATACTCTGTATCTATTAATATACATATACATAGATGTATGTACGTATGTATGTATATATATTTGTGTGTATAATATGAATACATGTTTGCCTATGTATATATGCAATTTACAAAATGTTTAACGCTCTATCTCCCTTACACACTCCACTTTCCATTCGAATTTTCTTAATATTTTATTTTTGTTTTTTTTTTTTTGTTTTTTTTTTTTTTGCTTTGTTATTCTCTGTCTATACACGATTCTTGGGCGGCGGCAACTCTTGTAAAAAATATGGGCGTATTCCAAAGCTTATAAAAATGTTGTAGACTACAATCTAAATGCTAATCACCTAGTAAATAGTGTACGCCTTACGACTAGCTCCCTAAGTCTAAGATGTATATTTCTAGCGTTAATAAATAGCAATTATTAAAATTTCAATATTTCATTAAATTAACATGGTATATTCTGCCTTGGTTGTATCTTCTTCTTYTGTTTTTGCGACAAATATTTTCAAAGAAAAAAAGAAAAAAAAAAATACAGAAATTGGTAAACAAACAAACAAAATTATATCTATAACATTAAGACCAATGTTTTCAATTCTATTATTTGTATTTGTTTTGTTTTCTACTTCTTCATTTTTGTTTTGTTTTTAGCTATCACAAAATGAAATACTACATAAATTACGTTAGGTATTTACAATTGGTGGCAAAACGTGTGTGTTGTTGTTGTTGTTGTTGTTGTTATCATCTTCTCTATATAGCAAAACAGCAAAGGAAATCAAAATGTGTTAACGAACTGATCTTGTTATCTATATACGTGTACATATATGTACATATATATATA